TTTCTCCCATATTACTCTCGTTTCTCCATATAACTTTCGTTTCTCCAGCCAGTATTTTTCCACACAGTCAGCACCTTATCACATGGCTACATTCCATTGTCCATCCATCACTTTTACAAGGTTGAGCATTGCCACGTTTAGCGTAACAGTACATTGCAACACCTAAGAAAAGTGCATTTTATAGGTAGTCCTTGGCTTATGACAACAACCGGGACAGCTGCTAAGTGCGTTTCGTCCCATTTTACGACCTTTCTTGCCACAGTTGTTAAGTGAATCTCTGCAGTTGTTAAGTTAGTAACATGGTTACTAATTAAATCTGTTGACTTTGCTTGTCAGAAGGTCACAAAAGGGGATCACATGCCCCAGGGACACTGCAACTGTCATAAATATGAGTCAGTTGCCAACTGTTCAGAGTATTGCAGTGTAAATTCAGCCCCAGAAAAGTAAACACAGATGGCTGAAGCTTCATTTAACTTCTTTATAAACATATAAAGTAAATTTTACAATACCAGTTGTAGATTTCTCCAACATAGAGCAAACTCAAACAGAAACAGACATGTTACAGGTTCAGAGCTTAACAGCAACTCAACTTCAGCAGATAAACAAGCAAGTTTTTTCTTTCACGAGACAGACTCAGAGCTCAACATAGCTTCAGAGCAGCAGAGCTTAATATAGAGCCATGCCTAGGCTATTTCTAGTTTCAGTTTCCAAACAGTCCTCATTGGCTGACTTAGATGCTATGCCTATTCATTGGCTGACTTTGTTACCATGCTCTATTCCAGTTCATAAATATACTTGGACACCAACCATCTGAATTTTGACCATGTAACCATGGGGAGGCTGCAAAGTTAAGTGTGACAAACGGTCCTGTCACTTTTTTCAGTGCCATTGTCACTTCGAATGATCACCAAATGAACTGTGGTAGAATAGATTGAGAACTACCTGCAGTTATATGTCCAGTTAGACACCCACCACTCAAATGTGCATTCTTCCCCTGCAAATTATAAACCAATCCAGCTGTAAAGGGCCATAGCAAGGAACAGCTAAGAAATTAAATCCTAAATGTATAGTTCCGTTACAGGCCTCAATCTAAACGTCCAAGCACATAAAACAGCTTGGAAGATCAGGCTTATCCAGTGGGAGGCAGATTAATTAAAGACAGAAGTTGACTAATCAACTGTGACAGAGAGAGAGAGAGAGAAAAGCAAATTTGGATTAAGGAACAGCTGCCGGCTACAAGGAATGAGGCCTGCCTACTGAGATCAGCTAAATAAATATGCGCATAAAATAGAGGCAAGGTTATTATGGCTTTTCAGTATTTGACTAAGATCCAGTGAGGAGGCTAGTACTTAAGATCTGTGAAATGATGTTATTTCCTAGTCTCCTGTTTCCCCAAAGCTTCACATTTCCAAATGACAGCAGGGACCTAACTAGATTAAAGAAAAGATAATTTAAGGAATGATTAAGCAATTAGGGATTTAACCAAGCAGATCTGAGCAAGAGACCTAAGCCAGATTGGCAAACGTCAAAGGATGAAGGTGCATTTTGTACAGAGATTGTGTGTCCCTGAGATATCCGGTATTTAATCAGCCCCAATTGTTTCCTCTCCTCACCTTTTTGGCACCCAGCCAGCATTGTCACGCTGCTTCCAAGTAGTAAGTCTTGCGTGAACAGAAGTGGCGCTTTCCAAGCATCAGTTTGATGCGAGGTTGGGCCGTCACTTTCGTGGGAGGTTTTCGCAGAGTGAAATGTTTGCTCGCTTGCAAAAATTTACCTCTAACCAGTCCAGCAGCTCTGCAAGTTGTTTTCCAACCACCCTTGTGTTGTTGACAGCAATGGTGTAGAGTTGTTGGGCGAGAGACAGCCAGTTCACCACCACCACGTTGGCTTCCTTCTCACGTTCCTGCAGAGCTGAGACCAGGGTGTTCATCCATCTTTCATACATGCCGCCCATCTGTGGGGAGAGGGAAAAAAATAATAATCAGGATACGGCTCCATTCCAGTCCTAGGGAGATTGTCACCTGGTCTTGAAGTCTCAGGAAAGACTTCAGAAAATGACCAGCTGTTTTCAAGGAATGTAAATCCTTCCATTCCCCACTATCCTATCAGAGCTGAAGAAGCTTCTTGGATGAGAAGCGAAATATCTTCAAAAGAAAAAAACAAAGAAAGTCCAGTTGCCTCCTGAAAAAGCACCTTTGGGACAACCATGACCTGGAGGGCTGAGAATCTCTACAGAGTTTTAGCTATACAATTTGGGATGGACACCCTTCGAATAGGAATGGATTTCCAGGAAAACAAAATGGCAGACTATAGGAACAATTAGCACCACTCAGGTGATCCTGAGGACACAGATAAACCTCCAAGTGCTTCAACGACCCTCCAAAAGGATGCAAATGACCAGCTGTCTGCAAGGAGTATAAATCCTTCCATTCCCCACCATCCAGTCAAAGCTGAAGAAGCTTCTTGGATGAGAAGCGAAATATCTTCAAAAGCAAAAAACAAAGTCCAGTTGCCTCCTGAAAAAGTACCTTTGGGACAACCCTCCCAGAGTTGGTTCAGGCTCTCAGAAAAGACATGTTTTTAATAGAAGGATGCAGCTATTAATACATTTGGGGAGTGTAATCTTGGGAGAAGATTAATTCACACCCGAAGATTTGGATGACCAAGAGGTACATCCCACTATCCTCAGTCCAAATTCGAAAGACCTTCACAAGTGACCAGTTTGGTTTTCTACCAAGGATAGTTTCTTCCCAAACAAAAGGCTGGAGAAGCAGAAGGGTGAGAGAAGTGGCTTACAACACTCTGAAAATCACATTATTTAAAAAAAACAAAACCTTTTCAAGCTATTAAAATCAGAGGTGGTATTCAGCAGGTTCTGACCAGTTCTGGAGAACCAGTAGTGGAAATTTTGAGTAGTTCAGAAAAATCTCCTCTGACTGGCCCCCCTGCCCCCATCTCTTCTCTGCCTCCTGAGTCCCAGCTGTTTGGCTGGGTCTTCTTTTGTTGCCCTGCATAGGAGAACAGAGCTGGAAAGCAGGTTAGTGGAGTGGGGAGGGAATGGGGATTTTGCAGTATCTTTCCCCTGCCACGCCCACCAAGCCACACCACGCCTACCAAGCCACACCACACCCACCAAACCACGCCCACAGAACCACTAGTAAAAATATTTGAATCCCACCACTGATTAAAATATATAGTTTTGCAAACTCTGGATCGTGATTCAAACGTTCTGATTCTAGAGTTGGCCTTTCTTAACTTAAACGAGCGTGATCACAGGAGTCCCAAAGATGCTTTTTTCAAAAGGCAACTGGGCTTTCTTTTTCCTTGAAGTCGTTTCGCTTCTCACCCAAGAAAGCTTCATCAGTTCTGATTGAAGGGTCCTCCACTGTTCAGTCAGAACTGAAAAAGCTTCTTAGGGGAGAAGCGAAACGTCTTCAAGGAAAAACAAAGTCCAGTTGGCCTTTGTAAAAGCACCTTTGGGACAATCATGATCTCTCCATAGACATAAGCACAGGAGGATCTAGTCTTAACCAAGACCACCACACGTTGATGGAGGATACCTAACCATCCTCTCCACACACACTAACACAAATGGTTGTTTTTAACTGCACTGGCACCAATATACTTTTTTGGGGGGGGTCATTTGGAGGCGGGAGAATTTTGAAAACCCAGAAAGTTCTACCATGCTTGCACTGGTCATTTAAATGCAGGCAAAACCATGCTGGATATTTGATGTATTATGCAGCTCAGCCCTTGAAAATCACTAACTGCCCATGTTTGATTGAACTGGCAGTTTGGCTGGGTCTGTAAACTGAGGTTTTCCTCTGTTTTGGGTAGGGTGGAAGGAATGATTATGACAACTTTTTCTTTCCAAATGTTAGGAAAATATCTGGGAATGATCTTATTACTCCCAGACCTCAAGCTGCATCTTACCAGGAAAAGTGGACAGGCACTGACTCAGCCACTGGTGGGATCCCAATCTATCTAAGAACGAAATGCCACTCACGCATCATCACAAAATCTCCAGAACCGTAAAGGCTACAAACTTGAAATTTGGCACTTATGTTCCTCTTGGCTTCTAGGTGCTCGCTAAGAAAGGATTTTTCGAAATGACCATCAGAGCATTAGTATTTCCTGTATTATTATTATTAACACACTCTTATGCTAAGGAGTTCTACTCCCACTCCCCATCTGAAAAGAAATCTGTTCCAAATGCAAAACACAAGCAGAGGAGCGGAGTATCAGTTTCAGAGCACCAAGCAGCTTTAGTACAGAACAGTTGAGCTAAGGTACACCCAGGCTCCTTGCTGTCTCCTTCTTGCTCACACAGCAAATACTCTTTCAGTTTCCAAACAGCCCTCAACTCTCACACACACTGACAGGACACTAGCCAGATGAATACCGATGGATGCTGGTATGCAGAGGCAGAATTCCTCCCACCTCTTATTTTCCTCCCCAAAAGCTAACCCCGACCACATAGTTTCGTAGCAAAACACGGGTATCCAGCTAGTTATCAATAAAGGAGAAAAATTGTAGCTCAGGGTTAAAATGAAGGGTCCTTGGTGCTCTCTGAACTTGGTTGTTTTCTTACTTTATTGTAACTAGGTAGTGTACTGATGATGTTACCTAGTTTGGGTAATGAAATGTCTGCAAGAAAAACAACCTAGCTCAGTTGGATCCCAAATTATCTTCATAGGAACAAACAACTGAACATTTCCAGATGAATTGTGGGGCATCATATTAGTATTCTACAGTCAGTTTTCCACCTAGCAAGTTCCAAGCTTTTTGTGGCTCTGGTGCACCCATTACCAATTCGTTGTCTGATCCCTTCTTTCTACCTAGCCATGCCAGTGATTGAATTAGACTGAAATTCATCCAGGGGTAATCTTGCAAACAATAGACATATATTTCAGTGAGGTCTCACTCAGAGGTGGTATTTAGCAGGTTCTGACCAGTTCTGGAGAACCAGTAGTGGAAATTTTGAGTAGTTCGGAGAAACGGCAAATACCACCTCTGACTGGTCCCATCTATTCTCTGCCTCCTGAGTCCCAACTGATCGGCTGGGTCTTCTTTGGCTGCCCTGCACAGGAGAACGGAGCTGGAAAGCAGGTTAGCGGGGTGGGGAGGGAATGGGGATTTTGCAGTATCCTTCCCCTGCCACGCCCACCAAGCCACAACCACCAAGCCATGCCCACAGACCTGGTAGCAAAAAAAGTTTGAATCCCACCACTGGTCTCACTGTCTAAATACTAGAACTGACCAATGCAGAAGGCATGATCCATCAAGAAAGATGAGAGGTTCAAAGCCAGTGGTGAGATTCAAATTTTTTTTACTACCAGTTCTGTGGGTGTAGCAGGGCAAGGAGAGTGCAAAATCTCCAATCAGTGGTGGGATTTGCCAGTTCTCCGAACTACACAAAATTTCCACTACTGGTTCTCCAGAACTAGTGAGAACCTGCTGAATACCAATACAATAACTTAGTTCTATATATGATCATGCTGCCAAAAAAAAGTCACTATAACTAATCATAGGTTTAATTGGGGAGCTTGTCGTGTATCATGGAGCTCAGAAAAGTCCTACTTACCGACCATCCATGAATAACAAAGAAGGTCTTTGCAGAGACGTTGAAGTTGCAATCATCTAAGAGATGGTCTTGGCCAACAGTGAGGTAGCAGTCAGGATGATCGGGGTCTGGGGTGGTACGAACAATGAACTTCACTTGTAGATCCTCAACTTTGGATGGTTCTTCTCTCAGCTTTAACACTTGAGCAATGCTAGCATCTGGAATAAAATATGTAGAATTGAAGATCATTCTTCCGTAAGTGGTATTGAACACATAAGCTGAACAAATACGGGTAGCCTTTGTCTGCAATAAATGAATTTCAGCCAGTTGCCAAGCATCTGAATTTCAATCACGTGACCATAGGGGTTGCTACAACGGTCATAAGTGTAAAAAAACAGTCATATGTCACTTTTTTCAGTGTCATTGTAACTTTGAACAGACAAACTTTAAACAAACTATTGTAAGTCAAGGATTACCTGTACAAATCTGCCGTCTTAATGCAGCCATCTTACTTGGTACCCTTAAAATATGTTGGACTTCAGCCTTCAGAAGTGGAAGCTGAAATCCAACATCTCAGGACATCATCACCTTGAGAAAAGGTGGCTTCAATTTTCAATAGTTGTAAGTTGCTGTTATCACTTGACACCATATCCCTTGTGCTGTCAAGATTCCAGCAGATCCTCTAATTAAATCATGAGCCTCGAGCCACACTCTCAAAACTAAAAAAATATTTATTTGACGGTAACATTCTACGTCCGGCATTTACCTGGGCATAGCCAACTCTGAGATACTGTCACCCTTGATCCTGCTTTTTCCCCCAGCCCTCTGGGTGTATCATCCAACAGAAAACGTCCATAGCCCAGAGTCGTCAACCCTGCTCTCCAATTAGATTTTTTCGGGCAGAAGCTTCAGTCATCTAATCAGTCTCTGAAGAAAATATGAATGGAATGTACTTTCGATTCCACACTGCCACCTCCTCTTTGAAACACCCTGCCTTCTTTCTGTTGTCAACTATAAAACAGGTATACAAAATGTTTTATGAGTTGACATGTGCATTTGTTGAGAAAGCAGAAAAGTTTTCGCATCTTTATCTTTCCACCTGCCGTCTACTTAGGTCTGATGACTGCATGAAGAATTTCTACAAGAACTTCCCCTTCTCCACAAGTTGATTCAATACGTATCTGGCAGTTTTTCAAACAATGAAATGCTCTTGTGTAAACTTACGTATGAGTCAACTGCAAAACCCATAGCTAGAATACAACTACCGAGGAATTGGTTTTGGCTAAATAAAAAATTCTGAAACAATGGAGACCTGCCTCAAAGACAAACAATATTGTATATCTCTTTATCGTGCTAAGCTATTTCATACCTCTAAAGCTTCTGGGTGTTAGCTTTCCACTGAAAACCAATCTATATAGCCTGGGGCCAGGTTATTTGAACTGCTAGAAAGATTTTCCACATCTTCTTGGCTGCGGCTGAACTCTCAATCAATCAATCGGAATAGAGCTGGAAGGGACCTTGGAGATCTTCTAGTCCAACCCACACCTCAAGCAGAAGACCTTATACTATTTCAGATAGGTGGCTGTCCAATCTCTTCTTAAAATCCCTCCAGCACCCACAACTTCTGGAGGCAAGCTGTTCCACTGACTAATTCCAGGTTGCTTCTCTCCTTGATTAGTTTCCATCCATTGTTTGTTGTCCTGCCTTCTGGTGTTTTGGAAAATAAATTGACTCCCTCTTCTTTGTGACAGCGACTCAAATACTGGAACAATGCCATCATGTCATCCCTAGTCCTTCTTTTCTCTAGATTGGCCATACCGAATTCCTGCAACTATTCTTCATATGCATTTGTATCCAGGCCTTTAACCATCTTAGTTGCTCTTTGTGCTTTTTCTAAAGTCTCAACATCTTTTTGCGTTGACCAAAACTGGATGCAGTTATTCTGCATTTAGGTGTGGTCCTCCTGAAGCTTTATAAAGCAGTATTAATACTTCACGTGATTTTGATTCTACGCCTCGAGCTCCGTTTTCCTTGGCAGAGGGTTGCAGGAGGCTGTCACAGCCGAAAACGGAGATTGGGAGCCCATTTTTGCTAGCAGAGCATCCATGATGATCCCCCCCCTCAAGGTCAAACATGACCCTGATGCGGCCCTCAATGACATCGAGTTTGATACCCCTGACCTAGGCAGACTGGCTTCAGACCAATGCCAGTTCTCCTCGTTTCAAGCAAAAGGGGTCAACCTATTTTCCAAAGCGCCCGAAGGCCAGACAAGGAACAACGGATGGAAACTGAACAAGGAGAGATTCAACCTGGAAATAAGGGAATATTTCCTGACAGTGAGAACAATCAACCAATGGAACAGAAGTTGCCTCCAGAAGTCGTGGGAGCTTCATCAGTGGAGACTTTCAAAGAGAGACTGGACTGCCATCTGTCAGAAATGGTGTAGGCCAGTGGCTCCCAACCTTTTTTGAACCAGGGACCGGTTTCACGATTATTTATTCTTCCACAGACTGGTACCTGAGTAACACTAGACTCCACCGCCATCGGGACGGCTCTTCGTTCAAAGCCGCCCCCCCCTTCGATGAAACTAAGGCGCGAGCACTCAAACGCCGCTTTCCAACTGAAAACCTGGAAACACTTTCCAAACGAAAACCCGGAAGCACCATCAAAACAAGATGGCGACGCCCAAGTTTTGCAGCCCAGTAAAAAATAATCCACGGACTAGTATCGGTCTGGGGACCAGTGGTTGGGGACCCCTGGTGTAGGGTCTCCTGCTTAGGCCAGGGGGGGTTGGACTAGATGACCTACAAGATCCCTTCCAACTTGGATTATCTGTTAAAAGTGAAACATTGTCTTTTGGGGACTTTCAGCTTGAGAAGCATCACTGTTGCCCCGGAAGAGGAGCAGAGGTGAAACAGGCCTCCACTTGCAGCTGTGTGTGGTAGTCACCTTACAAAAACTTCAGCTTAATTTGCAAAATAACCGAAGCTGAAATAGCAGTAGGCAACTGCAATTAAGAGTTGATATTATTATTATTATTACACTATCTATAGTGGCAGCTGGGTTTTCTGTTGCTCTCCTATCCCTTGTAGTCATAAAACCTGTTGAGCAGCCTAGACTCAACCCACGTCAGAAGAAACAAGTTTTCCTGAAGGTAACTTCTTCAAACGTTCCCTCAAACATCCCAAGAGTACAGGGAGTCCTTGACCAGAATGGAGTCCAACATTTCTGTTGTGAAGTGAGACATTGGTTAAGCGAGTTTTGCCCCATTCTACGACCTTTCTTGCCACAGTTGTTAAGTGAATCACAGCAGCTGATAAACGAGTAGCCCAGTTATCGAAGGTTATAGAATTGTTGGTTGGCCAAGTGTGATTGACACAGAAGGCGTTTTGTCTTTGGTGTATATGCTCTCAGTGTACATAAAGAAAAAAATAAAATATATTTGTCAAGAATCACAAGATACCACACTTAGTGATAGTCATAGGATACTAATAAGCAATCAAATCATACTAGGAAACAATAAAAACAACATAAGTCATAAAGATACAAGCAACATGGATATAGCCATAAGTGGGAAGAGATAGGTACTAGTAAGGATGAGAAGAATAGTAATACAGTCTTAGTAGTTAATTTGACTGTGTTGTGGGAATTAGTTATTTAGCAGAGTGATCTACCTCAGCATCTACTTCTGTCCTGCGACTGCAGCACCATTGAGAATGTCCTGACATATGGCATTCTTGCATGGTATGGGAGCAGTTCTGTAGTGGACAAAAAAACTCTATAGAGAATTATTAAAACTGCCCAGAATATCATCCGGCTCCAGTTACCAGCCCAGGACGACATCTTCATATCTCGCTGTTTGAGGAAGTTGCACACCATGTGATCATCCTTTTCACTTTGGAACTCCGAGTTTGGAGACCACTGGAGTGAAGGAAAAGAGGGGTGTAAAAATATTTACAGACCCCTCACATCCTGGACATAAACGGTTTCAACTCCTACCCTCAAAACGACACTACAGAGCACTGCACACCAGAAAAACTAGACACAAGAACATTTTTTCCCCCGAATGCCATCACTCTGTTAAACAAATAATTCCCTCAACACTGTTCAACTATTTACACAGTGTACACTACTATTACTGTTAATCTTCTCATCACTCCTTATCACCCATCCCCTCCCACTTGTGATTGTAGGGCTGTGACTTTGTCGCTTGTATCCTTACAATTTATATTGACTGTTTCCTAGTATGGTTTGATTGCTTAGGACAGTATTATTAAGTGTTGAACCTTATGATTCTTGACTCTTGACGAATGTATCTTTCCTTTTATGTACACTGAGAGCATTCGCACCAAGACAAATTCTTTATGTGTCCAATCACACTTGGCCAATAAAGAACTCCTATTCTATTCTATTCTATTCTATTCTATTCTATTCTATTCTATTCTATTCTATGAATGAATTGGGGGGTGGAGATAAACACCAGGAGAACTTATTGATCAGACCATTTGAATTCAAGATGAGTTTGTAGCACAAGACAAATTTTTTTAAAAATGAAGCATCACCCACATTTTTTGCTATTGTTGACAGTACAATTTAATGCCTCTTCCAAAGCAGCATAAAGTACAATTTTGCTACATCTCGAGCCTTTCTAGCTTTCTAGCTAGTTGGGTTGATAACGCCTTCAACTATTTGAAATCAACTATCTGAAATCAACTATCTGAAATCGCGAATCTATTACTATAAATCAAGAGCGGACTCAGCAAACGTCACCAAAACACCTGACTAAAACGAGACCACCGATAGAGTTACCCTATATTTAGAAGCGATCCTATCATTCTGCTTCACGTCACATCGTACGATTTGCTTGCTGGTGTCTTAGTGCAATTACTGAAGTCTCCACTCTATAGTGGTTGCTGCTTCCCTAAAGCGTGGTTAGACCGGGACTTAGTGACACGTGTACAGCCAGTGCATTCAACGACTCTTTAACTCCGAATACGGGATGCAGGATCGCAGCCTTTGCAGTCCCGTTTCGGGCCAAAGGGGAAAAAAAACGCTACAAAACCCACGAGGCTTTTTGCAGAGGAGCCCGGTACAGTGTATAAATTGCACCTCGAGGGCAGGTGGTTGCAAACTCTTAAAACCCAAATCTTGCACAAAAAAAAGCTTTCCTCGCCAAAGTTGCAGCAAAGTTCCACTTCCACTTTTTCCCAGAGAAGAGAAGAGATTCATCCGGGAGTGGATCCGAGCAAGGAAAATCTCTCGAGCGTTTTAGGCAAAAGACTCCAACCCCGCCGTTCTCCAGGGTGATTCGTTCGCCCGATTATCAAACCCGGGTTGGCTCTCGGGTTCTCACGTGCATCGCGCGCCCCTCTTCTCCCACCCCGCGCTCCGATTAACAGTCACCGATCTCTCGACACACACAACCGTCCCCTCCTTAATCCCTCTCCATCTTCCCCCCTCACCCGACCCCCAAAGGATCCCTTGTCGGGAGGGGGGGGGAGGAAATAGTAGCTCCAAGTTGTGATCAAGCCTGGCTGGAGACT